ACATTTTATCTCTGAAGCAGACAACTTCTCAAAAATTGTAGACCAGTGTAATTTGCCCCCTCCTCCAGGCACAGCCCCATTGACCTGACAGGAGCTGCTCCCCGCAAATATAGAAGTCAAAATAAATTTATGTTTGTCAGCTATGTCTGTACTTGTAGAACTATGCAGAGCACAGTGTGTACAGCTACACAATACGGTGAAAGCTGCTGTAGCCTATCCCCTCTACCTCCTTGCTGCTGCAGCTATCCCTTGCAGTGGGGAAAGGCTCTGGCAGTGGCAAGGCAACAAGACACCATATTGCTCAAAATAGCAGTGACGGAGAGGCACTGCTCGGGCACATAGAAAGCCTTTGTAGAATATACACCTGGGTTCAAGCATGTGGGGTGCTGTAGTCTCCTAACCTGTGCTTCACCGTCTACATTGCTATTTATATCCTTGATAGCTGGGCATGCACTATGTGTACTCTACATGCTGTTATTAGTGTAAGTGAGCAAATTCAGCCAAACCACACAACCCCTCTGTAATACGGCAGTATTTACTCACCTCACAAGCATTTTGTGCAATCTAATTAACGGGTGCCTGTGAAGAGCTTTGAGATCCAAAAGGGAACAATTGCTTTATAATGCAAAAGTAATGAAAACTTGTTGTACAGGAAATTGAGGTTCTGCAACACATGAGAATCCATTTCCCATAAGAACTAATACTGCATGCATCAGTCCCAGAGGTAAGAAAAATTATCTATAATGATCTAGAAGCTCAGCTGGTATAAACTGGCATAGTTACACTGAAGTTAATGAAACTACTCCAAAGTATGCTGGCTGAGGATTGGACCAATCCTGCTTACAATATTATTCATTGTCATCTCATCTCTTTAAATAAAACCTGTAGGTTACAATATATGCCCAATAAATTAATCTAATTTCAAGAATTGATGCGGACTCACAATTTCTATTTAAAAGTAACAGTTACAAGCAACAAAATTTCTGCTTAACATTTTTCATCCTTTAAGTCTCAAAACACTTATTTCACAGAAGTAGACAATCCTTCTCGTTTTACAGACAGAGGCACCATCTGTCAACAGACAGATTTCCAAAAGAATATATTTTGGGGATGCCCCAATTTTTGTTCATGCCACCTCAGACACCAGGGAGCTGATTTTCATAGCCATTTTTTTTTCCACTCAGATTTTTGCATGATTGGCACATCTGAAAAATCATGCCCAAGATCCTTCAAACTCGGCACCAAAAAAACCAGTGGCTGCATCTGAAAACACTGGCATAAGTGACTTGCCCAATCTTTAAACAGCAGATATGTGGCAGAGGTGAAAATAAAGCCTAGCACCATATTAGCTGAGAATCAAGGCCTCCTGTCTTGCCAGTTCACCTAATCTTTGAATAATTGTCTTTTAAACTGCCACCACACTTTTTAGATAAACTGTAGTTTAGATTAAATTACCATAAGGTGGGTGCAAAAATTGTTGCAAGACCATACTCGAAGAATAGTTATCAGTAGTTTTCTTTCAAACTAGGGGTCCCACAGAGGTCTGTCTTGGCTTCAATATTTTTGTTCATGACTTGGTTAATGGAATGGAGAGTATGTTTATAAAAATTTACAGATGATACCAAACTGGGAGGGATTTCAAGCACTTTGGGGAACAGAATTAGAATTCAAAACAACCTTGACAAATTCGAGAATTGGTCTGAAATGAACAAGATGAAATTCAATGAAGACAAGAGCAAAGTATTACACTTAGGAAAGAAAAATCAAATGCTCAATTACAAAATGGGATATAACTGTCTAGGCGGTAGTACTGCTGAAAAGGATCTGAAGATTATAATGGATCACAAATTGAATATGAGTCAACAAAGCAATGCAGTTGCAAGAAAAGGCTAAAATCATTCTGGGGTTTATTGACAGGAGTGTCACATGTCAGACACAGGAATTGTCTGGAGTAGTCAGGCCTCAGCTGAAGTACTGTGGCCTGTTCTGGGTGCCACACTTCAAAAAAGAGGTAGACAAATTGGAGAGAGTACAGAGGAGAGCAACAAAAATGAAAAAAGTTTAGAAAACCTGACCTATGAAGAAAGGTTAAAAGAACTGTCAAGTTTAGTCTAGAGAAAAGACAACTGAGAGGGGCTCGACAACAGTCTTCAAATATGATAAGGGCTGTCATAAAGAGGATGATGATAAAAAAAATTGTTCTCCAATGTCCACTGAAGGTAGGACAAGAAGTAATGGGCTTAATCTGCAGTAAGGGAGATTTAGATTAGATATCAGGAAAAACTTTCTAACTATACATATATTTAAGCACTGGAACTGGCTTTCAAGGGAGGTTGTGGAAATTCCCATCCTTGGAGGTTTTTAAAAAAAGGGGTAGACAAATACCGGTCAGGGATGGTGTAAGTAAACTTGGTCGTGCCTCAGCATAGAGGACTGAAGTGGTCTTCTTGAGGTCCAATCAAGCCCTACATTTCTATTATTCCATGATAATGTTAATATTTCAAAATCACTATTCTGATAAACAGTAATTTTCTTGGCTCAGCCTTAAATAGATTAACACAGACCTTTTTCTTTTCATTAGGAACCTCAGTTCTGCAAAATATAACAATTTCAGTTCAGGAGTATGCAACTATTTTCTTTGTGTTCGGTTTATGTATTCACAGCTGACTCCATACTCTCAAGATTTGAGGTAAATTTTGAACCCAGAAACTCAAAGTAAAACTAATTAAAATTCAGAATTTCAACTGATTTTTTTTTATTAAAGTAAAGGGTAAGCTCCATGGCAATGATTTGTAAGAGTGACTGGTGAGAGCGGGGAAACAAGTGCTTAACTTGCAGCATCTAATACAGGCCCTTTGGCTTCAATTAGATTTATGCATATGCTTAAATACTTTGCCATATGGGAATGTGATTATGCATGTGATTTAAATTAAGCATGTCCTTAAATGTTTTGCTGAACTGGAGACGATTTCCCTGGAAATCCTTTTCAGGAAAAGTAGTGGAAGTTCCATTGTTTAGTCATTTGACACCAGATGTTGGAAAAAATCAATGAAAGTACTCAGCACCTCATAGAATCAGGACCTTACAGTTAGAATGGTCAAAGCCCCAAAATATCATGAGTAACACAAGTTTGCAATGACAGCTGAGGGGTAGAGAGGACTGGGTGAATCAGTGTGCTGTCACTATTTCTAATTCTTTGGACAGCAGGCCAAATTTGCAGATGCAACCAAGGTAACAAGAAATTCATCATGGGAGGTCAAAGTGTCAATGAATCTGCCAAGATGCAAGAAACTATTCTGATTATTATCACTATCTCAATTTAGTCTGACAGTTCTTCTACAGAACAAATCAGGTTAGACAGGGTTAAACTGGATAATGTCATTCTAGAGATTGAGACTCACAAATAACCCTTTGAATTGTTTCAAATAAGATGAATAAGCATGAGCTGAGACAATGGTGATAGAGGGAGCGCACAAAAAGGAGGGAAGCTCCAAAATGCAACTCTTAGTTGTTTTGACATACTCCAAAAACTGAGGGTGATTTTCTTAGTAATTTAGGCCCCAATCCTTTAAAGAGCATGGACCCTTGTCAGTGGCGTAGCCAGGTTCTAACATCAGGGGAGCAAACACATAAAAAAAGGCGCTACCCATTTTGGAAGGGTAAAAATGCCCCGTATGTGATTAATTAAAACAAAAAACAAAAAACTGTCCACACGGCAGCCAGGTCATTTTGAAAACAAAATTCAAAATGTCAGAATTTCTGGAAATTCTGAGTTTTCACCAGCTCTGGGTGAAATTCTTCACAGAAAAATAAATTCCCTCAAAAATCTCTATTCAGAAACATCCCAATATTTTGCTTGGTCCTCTTTTCATTGAACAGCAACATTTAATTTTGGTTTGTGTAGTCAAAATGAAATATTTCATATTCAGTCAACATTAATCTATGTGTCCAACTGAGCAGCCATCGTGCCTAAAGGAAGTTATAATTCCAGTTCCCTCATGCTGCCTTTCTCCTTTACGTGCCTTACTTCCCAGCTACACTGTATCTACCATGATGCACCACAGTCTCTCTCTCTGTCTGAGCCACCACAGTGCATCGTAAGACTCCCATCAGGCATGGACCATGAGTAGTTTTCTGTTCCCTGAGTGACCAGAGCAGGGACTGCAGTAGAGTAATCAGGAACCTGCTAGAACCAGTTAAGATAGGCAGGCTAATTAGGACACCTGGGTCTTAAAAAAGAGCTCACTTCAGTTTGTTGTGGGAGTGTGAGGAGCTGGGAGCAAGAGACGCAAGGAGCTGAGAGTGAGACGGTGTGCTGCTGGAGGGCTGAGGAGCACAAGCATTATCAGACACCAGGAGGGAAGGTCCTGTGGTGAGAATAAGGAAGGTGTTTGGAGGAGGCCATGGGGAAGTAGCCCAGGGAGTTGTAGCTGTCATGCAGCTGTTACAGGAGGCACTATAGACAGCTGCAGTCCACAGGGCCGGAACCCAGAGTAGAGGGCAGGCCCGGGTTCCCCCCAAACCTCCCAATTGACCTGGACTGTGGGTTCTCCCAGAGGGGAAGGTCTCTGGGCTGTTCCCCAACCCACATGGTGAATCTCTGAGGCGAGAAAATCCACCAATAAGCACAGGACCCACCAAGATAGAGGAGGAACTTTGTCACACTGGTGTCAGAGATGGGATCTTGGGATGCACAGCATGGCGGAAGAAGGAGGGTGATTTAAAACAAACAAAAAAAGGGGGAGAGGGTTCTTTTTTTCCCACCACAATGGATGACGTAGTGCGGGCACTGATACGAGCCATGGTGTCCCAGCAGGAGGCTACCCATGTCCAGGCAGCCGCCCAACAGGAGGCATTGCAGCTGCAGCAAGAGACTAATCGCCTGCTGATGGACCAGGCTGCTCAAGACCGAGCTATGTTGCGGGAACTGGTAAACCAGGTAAAGTCCCTTATAGAGCTGAATCGTGGCCATGATGGGACGCGGCTTATACGGGCCAGCCATTGGCTGCAGAAAATGACACTGGAGGATGATGTAGAGGCATACCTTCTGGCCTTTGAGAGGACAGCCTTACGGGAGGCCTGGCCTCGAAATCAGTGGTCTGGCATCCTTGCCCCATTCCTGTGTGGGGAGGCCCAGAAGGCCTACCATGATCTGCCTGAAGAGGCTGAGGTAGACTACCCCCAGCTGAAAGCAGAGATCCTGGCCAGATCTGGGGTAACGACAGCAGTGCGGGCCCAGCAATATCACGGTTGGAGGTACCAGGAAGAAAAAACCCCGCGGTCCCAATTGTATGACCTCATCCATCTCGCACGAAAGTGGTTGCAAACAGAGTCCCGGAGTCCGGTTCTGGTTATCGACCGATACATGAGGGGACTACCACCAGACCTTCATGCCTGGGTAAGCCAGAACGAACCCTCCACCTATGATGAGGTTGTCGCCCTGGTAGAGAGGCGAAGGACAGCAAGGGAGCTGACCCGACCAGTTAAGGAAGAGGCACCCCGGGTTAAACTAGCAGCACCAAGCCCTAAAGTTCGGGTGACTGGGCCACCAGGAGGGCCCAGGTGGAAAAAGGGAGAGGCTGAAGGCCCATTAGAGGCCACAAAGAGTCGGAGCACTGAGGGAGAAGAGGATCATGATGTTAGACTGCCCAAACCAAGAGACCGGGGAACGCCTAGGGCTCCATACAGATGTTATGCCTGTGGGGAGTGGGGACACATAGCTTCACTGTGTCCCAATGCTACTGTGTCCCAATGCTGAGGAGCCTATGCAGTGTAATCTGGGGAACTGGGCAGATCCATGCTCCCTAATTCACCTTGTGGGGGTCTCACTAACCCCACATATGTATACCAGACCAGTGAAACTAAATGGGGTAGGGACCACGCCACTGGTTGATTCGGGGAGTGCTATCACGCATATCTCAGGGAAGCTCGTGAAGCGTAGTCAGCTGCTGCAGGCTAAACCTACGGGGATAACATGCGTCCATGGGACAGTTAGTTACTACCCCACCATCCCAGTAAAAATCAAGATCCAAGAAAACTCTACTGAGGTAGCAGCAGGTGTAGTCCCTAAACTCCCATATCCGGTGCTCATAGGGAGGGACTTCCCACGGTTTGGAAACTTACTCCCAGTAGGGGGATTGGAGAAAGATGGGGACCCTAAAATTGGTGAGGCATCCACAGCAGACTGTCAACCCCCAGTCTTCTCTGAAATATCCCCAGATTTGTTCTATACTCCCAGACAGGGTAGAAAGACAAAAAGGGAAAGAAGGGCAGCTACGGCCTTGGGAACCCGAATACTGACCCAAAGCCAGAGGGTCGCTCTTGTAGGTAGGCGGACCCGCGCAGCTGAAAAGGAGGCCATGCAGGAGGGAGAAGCACCTGAGTCTGACCCCCACCCTAATGTTTCTGAACCAGTAGAGGCAACAGAGACTGGGCCCCTAGATCTTGGGCAGATTAGCCCCGGGAGAGGAAATTTTGGACAGGGCCAGGCAGAAGACCCAAGGTATGACAACATTAGGAAGGAGGTGACTGAAATAGATGGGGTCCCCGTGGAAGGGAAAACCCAGGGACCAGGACCCTACTTCATAACGAAGAAGGATCTCTTATACCAGGTTGCACCAGTACACAGGCAGAAGGTATAGCAGATCCTAGTACCTCAAAAACACCAGAACGCTGTATTATGTCTTGCTCATAGTCATCTTTTTGGGGGGCCTTTGGGGGTAGAGAAGACCCTGGCACAAGTCCTACGACGGTTCTTCTGGCCCGGAGTACATGAAGAAGTGCGGAGGTACTGTGCCTCCTGCCCGGAGTGTCAGCTGCACAGTCCCCATCCCCACTTGAGGGCACCTTTAGTACCCCTTCCCATCATAGAGGTCCCCTTCGAACGAATAGCCATGGACCTAGTGGGACCCCTGGAGAAGATGGCTTGGGGCCACCAATATATACTTGTTGTTTTGGACTATGCTACTCGCTACCCAGAAGCCGTCCCCCTGCAGAACACGGCCTCTAAAACTATAGCCAAAGAGCTGGTGGGGATCTTTGCCCGAAT